AACTGGAGATGGATCATTATGTGGTTTCTTTTTCTTCGCTGTTCAACAAAAGTTTCTCCTTAAATGTACAACAGGCTCCAAGACAACACTTCATTTTAACTACAGGTGGCAAAAGATGTTATAGCAGAGAATCCAGATGTTTTAAAAAGTAACGGAAGTAAGGTTCATCATTGCCTCGGTCTTATTTTTTGTCATATTTCTTAATTCTACCTGTGGCCAGGGGATCTTTGTCTGCAGCCTTCGCTTTTAGCTCCTCGAGTTTTTTCTGTTCTTCTTTTTGTTTCTGCTTGAAAGCCTTATCTTCCTCATCCATCTCCTTGGTCTGCTTCTTGGGCTTTTCAGGAACTTCTTCTTACCACCTTTGCGGCCAGACATGGCGTTGGTGGCCCCTACCCCAGACCTGCTGCTGAAAGCTGAGCGTTCCTGAGCCCTCTGTGCCTCCACCACCATAGAGTCTGTTCCCAATTTCTGTATTCTAGTCACTAATTACTATTAATGCATCTTGATTGCATGTTCAATCCATTTCAGACTGTAACAGAGGGTAGAAATCTTCTATGTCTTTCTCTTTTGACTTTCATACTTGGTGCATATATTTGAAAGACTGTTTTAACAAAATTTCTCTGTATGTATATGGATAGTAGCCTATAACTCACAGAGTTGTACCTTAGGATAGGTCTTGAAATGAATTTTGATGATGAATGTGTCACACCATTCCTCTTCAATTTATTGTTTCTGGCATATTCGATCCTATGACTGATGAAAAATGGTAAGTACCAATTCTTCTCAGCTCAGTGAATTCTTCTCAGTCTAGGGTGCAAATTCCATTAATTTTTTATAGTTTCTAATGTTCCTACTTTCATGTCATACATTCCATATTCCAGTTATTAACAGATGCTTGTAACTGTTTCTCCTCTTATAGAGCCTTGCCACATCAGCAAATGAAAATCTTTGATTGGGTGAAAGTTTTACCCCATCTGCAATCATTATGGTATGTTCCAGGCTGAGTAGGCAGCTCCTCCCCAGTCATATTTTGAGTATCTTCCAACCTGAGGAGGTAATATTCTGGCACTATATCCAACAACATTTTTCCACTGACCACACAGTTTTGAAAGACATGTTATTTCAGAAGTGGATGGTCAGGTCTGCTTCACAGTATGTCTTGGTCTGCAAACTCCACTGAAACCTGTCTACCCTGGGTTATCCTGCTGGTATTTGAAATACTGGTGGCATAGCTTCCAGCATCGGGGTTGTATCCTTCCTCCAAATCTATTCACTCTGTATGCTCAGAAAATAACTGGAGAAGCTGAGCTATATGAAGAGGAATGTGGCATCAGGATTGGGAGAAGACTCATCAACAACCTGTGTTATATGGATGACACAACCTTGCTTGCAAAATGTGAAGACTTGAAGCATTTAAGGAGGACTATCAAAGACTATAGCCTTCAAGATGGATTACATTTCAACATAAAAAAAAACCAACCCTAAAATCCTCAACTCTGGACCAGTAGGCAACATTATGATGGAGAAAAGACTGACGCTGTCAAGATTTCATTTTACTTGCATTAACAATTAATATTGATGTTAATAGCAGCCAAGGAATCAAGAGATACGTCACGCTGGGAAAATCTGATGTCAAGAAGCTCTCCAAAATTAAAAAAATCAAGGATGTCAGTTTAAAGACTAAGACGTACTTGATTCAGGCCACAGTATTTTTCATTGCTTCCAATGCATATGAAAGTTAGAAAATAAGGATGACAAGAAGAATCAAGGTTTTTGAACTATGATGTTGGACATGTGTATTGAATATAACATGGACTGCCAAGAGAATAAACCAGACTTCTCCTTGGATGCAGAGATGGTGAAAACTCGTGTCACTTACTATGCACGTATTTTCAGGGGCTATCAGTTTTTGGAAAAAGATATAATGCTAGGAAAGCCATGACTAATGCCAGTAGGGCTTAATGCATTAATTCTATTATTGGGATGGTTTTAAAAGCTTTGTTTCACATACTTTGGGCATGTTGTCTGGAGGGGTGGTCCTGGGAAAAAGACATCCATCCATCAGGTGGAGTCTTAGAGAAAGAGAGGATAATGCTCAACAAGATGGACTGATACAATGACTATTAACAATGGGTTTGAGCTGCTCAGAGATGGCACAGCATAGGATTGGATCTTTTGTTTACAGGGTCCTGAATTGTAGCCAACTTGATGGCATCTAAAAACAACTACAGGTATGTGTGTGAGCCAGGAGAAGTCTCTCCTGAGGTTGAAGTCATGGACCTGGAACATTCCACCCTCTACAAACCCTTGAGCCATTTCCTTGAAATATATCTGTGATTTCATTGATTTTGCAGCTCTAGACAGATATAACTATGATCTTACCCTAGAAAACATTAAAAATTGCTTTTGGTTGATTGAATTCTTGTGCCACTAGAACATGACAATGTGACCTTTTGTGAAATTAGGGCCTTTGCAAATGTAATGAGTTAACATAAGACCATTCTGACTTATGGTGGGCCTTAAATCCACTGACTGGACACCTTATAACAAAGCCTTGAGAAGATGTATAGGCCCTAGAAGGTTACTGGAAGACAGGTGCAGAGATTGGAGTGAGTTGGTCACAAGCTGTGGAACACCATGATTTGGCAGCAACCAGCAGATGCCAGAAAGAGCCAACAGATCCTTTAGAGAGAGATGGTCTATACACACCGCGATTGAAAATTCCAGCTACTAGAGCTGTGTGTGACTACAGATACTTTACATTACCAAGCTTATAGTCATTTACCAGTTCTAGGAAACAAAAGCAAAGGCTATAGTGACTTACTGCACTATCACTTAACATTTGTGATGCCATAATCTAACAGATTGAGAACCTTGCTTATGATACAGTATAGTAGTTAGGGTTTCGTTTTTTTCCTCCAAAATGGGCTATTGATTAGATCTGAATACATTGATCAGTGGTGATTAAGAAATCAATGTGGCCAAGGCGGGTGAATTGCTCACAGGCCAATACTATAGTACTTTAATTCAATTCTTGGCAGTCAAGTGGAGAACCATAAAAAAAAAAAATCAAAATTAAAAGAAGAATATCATTTAAAATAAAATCTCCATATCTACTGGTGCCACTGTGTGGGCAAGACTCTAAACTCATGAACCATTATGATGGCATAGCATTTCAAAATTGCAGAAACACATGAAAGCTGCTGTTCCTGCTTTTGTGAGGGTGAGCTACCACACACATTACCATTAAACTTAGATACTATGAGGGAATTATGGGGCTATAAAGAGAAAACCAACAGAAACCGAAAAATATAGCTTGAAAAATACACACCCAAGATCTGTTGTTGTTTGTTTTTTTTAGAACTTTTAATTTTTATTTATTTATTTATGTGTGTACCGTCAAACCGGATCTGACTGGTTGCTCTTCAGCAGAGCATCTGGTGGACCTGAACTGCACACCTCTGAGACTGCAGTGCAGCCTCTTGCCACTAGGCCACCAGAGCTCTCCACACCCAAGATCTGTTAAGCAAGCTAGGAGATCCTTTGTCCATTTCTACAGCTACTCTACCAGACACTGAAGATGAAGAAACTGAATTTCAGAAATTTTAAGCAATCTATTGAAAATCACAAGCAGCTAATCATGGGCAGATGTCAGGAGCTGGTTAACTTGCAAAGCAGGATCAGCAACGCCTTGTAAAAACAGCAGGACCACCTATCTTGGCTTGACCATCTGTTCTGTAGAAAACAACTCCAGGAAGCAGTATGCTAATGAATAGGGAGTGACTGAAGGTTTCTGAATCTTAGGAATGTGATACTGTTTTTTTTTTTGTCTTTTAAAATATAAGATATCCTGGAAGAGGTCTTTGTTTTGTGTGAATGTCTGGGAATGTTTGATCTACCAGTCAACATCTCGGACAGATAAAAGATAATGCAATTACCCCTGCAGGCATGTTCCTAAGATGTGTATATATATATACCCTTGCCAAAATATTAAACTTGCTATTTGTCATCAGCAATTAGCCTCTCTTGCATCTTCATTTCAACCTGGTGCCTCCTTTTGGTGGAATTCTCCCGACATATCGGGGCTGGATCCCCGATAGGCAGAGGGCAAGTGGCTAGTTCCTGAGTTCATTCAAATATAAAGTTATCATATTTTCAAGAAAGGTATGAGACTATATGAAAAGGACATACTGAATGATGGAATTTACATAAGAAACAGAAAACAAGTGTGAAAGACTCATTATAAAAATGGAAAGCACTCACTACCCTGTGATTTGCTCTGGCCAACTGCACATTACAAATATGATACAGCAGAGAAATTGAAAAGTGGTAAACAATGAGATCTGATCTATCCATGCCTATACTTTATGCAAATAATATAATGCAAATAATGTAATACTCTATGCCTGTAATATGCAAATAAGCCTGGGGGGAGCCTGAGTGATGATGGGAAATGACGCAAGACCACATAAAACAGCTGACTTGCCAACTGCAACTAGCCTGGTTGCTGACCACTTGATAGAAAATGCATAAGCCCATCTGAAACTAGCAGCACTGTCCACCTAAGCCCAACCCTAAAGAGACAAAATGCAGAATCGTGAGCTAGAATAAAAATGCCATTACACTTTGTGATGACTTAAGTCTACTCAACAGACCAGCCCATACAACTTTTTGTACAATTATTTCCTTAACATTGTACATGAAAGACTCTTCTACATTATCTTCATAATCACTAATTTTAATAATCACTCTCTGCTTTTCATCAAATGGAAAGGGGATGTTAAATAATTATAGTTTAGTTTTCCCCCCCTACCTTACTTGGATCCCTTCTGTGGCTACCAAGTTAAGGATAACACTTTGTTAAAGTAATAAAAAAACTATTATCCTCTTAATGACATTTCTCCTATTCTCTTCTATTAGTCAACAAATACATAGCATACTAATTATCAGAAAGCATATAGTTAGATAAAAATTAAAACACCATTTTTAAAAACATATACCTGCAGTATTGCAGAAAAGCAGCTTTTAGCAACTTGGTTTTATCTTCCTGAGCTATAGTTTCATTCTTTGTAGTGGACTCAAAAACAACATTCTGTAAAAGAAGTTATAGAGATTAAGGAATTAGAATGTTCTTAATTATTTTTTTTCTATATTTTATTAATTTTCATAAACATTTACAGAGATTTTGGGTTTCCATTCATTCATTGTTGCACTATTCTCTCTACCCTCCTCCCAGTTTGTTCTTGTCCAAATGCCACAGTGCTTGTCAAAGCCAGTTCTGATTAATCTTTGTCAGTGTGTCCTTTGCCATTCCCTATCATTCCTCCCTGAGAGAGACTTCACCCTGAGTCATAAGGAAAAGGGGACGGCGTATTCTCTTAGCTACTTCCTGCTGAAAAGGGACGCTGTGGGTTTCAGGGTGAAGATCTTCTCTCACTACTCTAAAGGGCCCCTTTGGCAGTAGGAAACACATAGACTATTATGGAGAATGTTCTTAATTATTACATTAAAAATTGGCCATACAATGAAAACATGCACTTAAACAAACACACACACACACACACACACAGCTTAAGCACACTATTTATGTTAAGTAGGAGTTGGAGCTGACACGCCAGTGTGTTTTCGGAGGAACTAAATCACAAAGAAGAAGAATGTCTTTCTCCAGCAGAGCAGCTTGTGGATTCCAACCATGCACCTTCTGGTTGGCAGTGCAGCTCCTTACCACCAGAGCTCCTTATAATGTCATCTATACTAATAGCTTATATACTCAGGGTGGTCACTGAAACAAGATAAAAGGTACAAAAGGCCAACCATAGTGCTAGAGAAAAAGTACCAATACATCAGGACTTATAAGTAAAATTATTTGGGATTTCATTATAACCAGAACAATTTTTTTAATTTGTTCTTACATAACTAATTGTAATGTATGTTACTTATTGTATGTTATATGTATGTTATGTACTTGACTACAAATCCCAAGTTTAAACACATACTTAATAAGGAAAATGTATCTAAGGTATTTTCAGAATATCCAACAGTATTATAATATCCATGATTATAAAAGAATCAAAATGAAAATTCTCTTGAAATTTTACTAAACCACTACTCTTTAATTATAGAAAGCCCATATATTCACATAGCATAAAATGCAAGTTATCCAAAGTAATATTATTTTTAGTGTCTTACAAAAATGATACAAATCTATGGATGGACAGCAGTAGTGAGTATTTATTGGGAGTGACATAAAATATGTGAAGGTTAACAGTAGTGACTGTTGTCACACAACATAGTGTGTGTCATTAAGGTCCTAAATTGTACACCTGAAAAGGGTTAAAACAGCAAGCTTTTCATAATGTATGTTTTATTACATTAAAATTAAAGACAATGCCAAAATATGTGAGTCTAACCATAACACAGGGCAATAGGAATGAGGAGGGGGAAATGACAGATCAGAGAAGAGATAAACTAAGTGTGGTGTGCAGGTGCTGATGAGAAGTTGGGAGGCAATGGAAAAGGAAAGTTCTAGTAGAAGACGTGTGCAACTATAAAGTTTCTTGAGATTTGACTGTGAGGAAAAGCAGTATTAAAAGGCATGTTATACAGCCGTTGGAGCAAGCATGAAGTGAATGTAGAATGCGTCAATTAACTCAAAGAACCACATAAAGTTGTTATTGTTGCTGTTGACTGCCATCTGGTGGAGCATGATTCATAGTGACCCTATGAACAAAAGGCCTAAAGCCTTTCTGTAACTGATGTCATTTCTCCAAGTTTTCAGAGGTATGTGGTTTAGGAAGTAGATGTCATTCCTGCTTCCAAACCTGTCTTAAACTGGGAGCTCCACCAAACACAGTCCACCATGGGCAACTGTTATGGCATTTGACACCTCACTGGCATCACAACAAACCTAGATTACCTCAGTACAGCATAAATCAGTGTTTGGTGCGGCAAACCGTAAGCAATAATCATATTGCCATTACAGTAAAAGAAAAAGAAAACTTATTTTGGTATGATGAAGGCAGAAGGTGTATAAGCTATCCCAAATCGTCATCTTCTAAAACAGGACATCAAGACATCTCTAAAACTGACAAACTAGAGACAGAAATATGTGTAAAAACTGAAAAATCTGGAGGAAAAAAACCCATGAAAAGTAATAGTTAAAAGGCTTAAAAATCATTGCTTCTGGGAAAATGATCTCATAAAGATCTTCTATTTTCATCATAAATCTTATAAACAGTTTGAATTTTAGAAATACGTGGAATATTATGGATAAAAAGAATTTATTTTTTATAAAAAGAAAATTTTTTTAAAATCCTAAAGCATCACTTTACCTCATTGCTTGGCCCAGCAATTGAAGATGTCAGGGACTCTTCAAGGTCTTCTGCTAACACAGACAAATTTTCCCTTGACATAATAGACATCAATCCACTGTTTCTAGAAAAAACAACAGGAATACCACCACAGGAACCAGCCCCTAAAATACTATCTCCTTTAAAAAAGAAAATCACACAATTAAAAAACCAAAAACATTTTCCCAAAATCTACCAGATTAAAGAGAAATCTTCCTGAATGTTTTATCAAGATTGCTCTTCCCTTTATAGTACTATCTCCCTATGACTTTAGTTTTTTTATCAAATGTGAATAATCTGCTATCTAAGGAAGAGGCCTTTGTGTTCTTTAAGGGCAATAAAAATTAATTACATAAACAAGCAGTGAGGATAGTAACAACAATACATCAAAAACCACAAAAAGTAAAGAAAATATTCATTCTGTAAAACTGAAAACAAAGTGGGTTTGGGGGTTTTTCCTTCCTTTATTTCCCAGTCTCGTGGAGTCTTCTTGCTCAATCTGTCTTTAATTTATTGATCTCCTGGGAAAAATGTTATTATTTCTTGCCCCTAAATATAACAACTGCACAGAGTACTTTTATTTTTCTGGAGGACTGTAACTCCAATTACTGCAGGTGTAATACTGAATGTTTCAGAAATACCTGAGGTACCAATTACGCCAGAAACAACATTTCAGAGAATAAAAACTACTGACTAATGAGTCTACTAGGTATGCTCTCTGATCCATTACCTTGTGTGGAAAAGCCAATCTTCTCCTGAGGAAGAGAAAACTTCCCACTTCCCGTGGAGCAAACATAGACAGCACTCTCAGTATAAAGATAGGCAGTCTGGTTTGAAAGATTTGGGACCACCAACCGACACTTTATCAGGTCTTCAGACTGAAAATCAAATGTAAGATTATATTTATAGAGAACGGAAACCAACACACTTGTTTGCAGGATTTTATGATTCATGTTTCTGTATACTAGCTCATAAAAAAGGAAGATCTCGTGACCTAGAAGGTCACAAGAAGGTGCAAGATGCACCACCAACTCAAGGGTGCTCGATTCAAATCCATCAGCTTCTCTATGGGAAAAGATGCACAGAAAAGATGCACAGTTTCCTTCTTAGTGAATTTAAGCCACCAAAAAACCTGCTGGGGGGTCAGCTATGACTAGGTTCCTAGTCAAAGACCATTAAAGAGTGAAAGAGAGCACATGAACAATGATTTATTAATTCCTTGTACAAATCTAATCTAAGTATTACCCATATGCTGACTTACCAAAAAGAGAAAGCTTTTACATATCAGCTAGGGAAATCACTTGCTGAATTACGGACAATTAGCAAATTCTAAAACAATTTCCAAATTGATAGACTACAACTCACTATCTGTAACACATCAAAGCAAGAAAACAAAAGAATTAAATCACTATATTATAAAGCAGAAATGAGGGATTAGTGAGGCCTAGCCATGTACAGATCAAAGAGTATGAAGAAGTTGGAAGAGACAATAACCTTCCAGAGTCAACAGAGAGAGAGCCTACCTCTACAGTGAGCACCCTGAATTTGGACTTCTAGCCTCCTAAACTGTGAGAAAATAAATTTGTTTGTTAAAGAAAAAAAAAATCACTACATTACTTTAGAACTGTCAAGTATTTAATAAGAAAATCATGAAAAATAAACATTTTAGCTTTTTACTGTCAAGTTATCAAGCAAAGTTGTCCAAGTTGATATGTAAACTCGGAGACCAAAACAAAAATAAGACTTTATTTTCTTTCTAATCACTAATTCAGAAATAAAAATCACGTTATGTAAGAGAGAGAGGACGGAAGAAATCCATTATATAGATTTATTCTACTCTCCTTTCTCTTTAACAAAGGTTGAGTCCATAAGAGTCTATAAAGGAAATGCAAAAATGTCTAATAAAAAGCTATTTAAAATATTCCTAATACGAATACTCAGTATCGTGAAAACAGCAATTCTACCAAAAGCAATCTATAAGTTCAATGCAATCTCAATACATTCTTCAATGAGATGGAAAAGGAATTTTATCTGGAATGGAAAGAGATTCTGAGCAAGCGAATACTACTGAAAAAGAGGAACAAGGTAGAAGGCATCACATTCCCTTATCTCAAATCCTACTACACAGCTGTAGTGGTGAAGACAGCACAGTACTGACAGACACATTGAGACAGACACATTGATCAATGGAAAAGATTTGAGAACCCAGAAATCAGGTCATCTACCTACAGTCAACTGATTTTCAACAAGGAGACAAAGTCAGGTAAGTGGGGAAATGACAGCCTTATGGGAAGCCAAACTTTATACCAAATATTATATGAAAACTCTTGATCAGGAATTGAAGGAATTAAAGATTTATAAATTAGGATTTCTCTTGTGGCAGATCACAGAAAATGAGCTGTTTGTTCCCTGCAGACAGGAGACAGCTGGGCTCCCCTACAGAGGGAGTGTTACTACCTGTGAAATACTTTCTGCGTTAGAACATTAGGTTGACAATAAGAGAAAAATTCAGCTTCATTTACAAGAAATTCCTTTTATTATTTTCTTCCCCAGATTATCAATAAATACACAGAGAAACATGACTTGGGGTCTTCAGTCAAGAACTGCTGGCCCCCTGTTTTATGCTCTCTGCTCTATCTCATTCCTGGCTGTTTGTCTCATTATTAATAATTATAAAATTATTCCATTCCATTCATTTGGGTCTGCAACACAGCCTCTTTAACAAATGGTGTTGGCAAAATTGGAAAACTTTTGGCAAGATACACAAAAATGAACTCAAGGTGGATCGAAGACCAAGGAGTAAAATCAAAGACTATAAATTTCATCAGAGAAAAGATAGTAAAAACTCCAGAAGTACAAATCCATAGCATGAACAGACTTCTAATACAAGCAGGAGACAATAAAATAGATGAATGGGACCTCCTAAGAATCAAATCTCTATATTCCTATGCATATCAAAAAATTTCTCCAAAAGGATAAGAAGGAAACCCACAGACTGGGCAAAAATATTTGGCAATGACATATCTGAAAAGAGACTTATATCTAAAACATCACATCAACAAGAAAAAGGTAAATAACTCAGTCGCAAAATGGGCACAGGATATGAACAGACACTTCACTAAAGACATTCAAATGGCAAACAAGTACATGAAAAAATGTGAGTAATCCCTAGCTATCAGAGAGAGACAAATAAAAACAACTATGAGATATCATCTCACCCCAGCAACAACAGCAAAGTTTAACAGGACAGTAAACAACAAATACTGGCAAGGTTGTAGAGATATTGGAACTCTTTATTTACTGCTGGTGGCAATGTAATAGGGTGCAGCCACTATGGAAGGCAGTCTGTTGCCTTCTCAAAAAGTTTTAAATAGACGTACCATTTGACTACACAATTCCACTACTGGGAATACCCTAAAGAAATAAGAGCCACAACTCAATCAGATGTATGTATACCCAGGTATATTGCTTCATTATTCACAATAGCAAAGAGATGGAAGCAACCCAAGTGTCCATGAACAAATGAATGGATTATAGTACATTCACACAAGGGAATATTATGCAACACTGAAAAACAATGAACTCATAAAACACTACACAACACGAGGTAACCTGAAGGACATTATGCAGAGTAAAATATCTCAGTCACAAAAGGACAAACAATGCATAACATTGCTGTTATAAAACAGGAGAGATATGGATGGGTTGGGGAGAGAAAAGGAAAAGAATTCATAGGTAATGAATACTATATTAGATCAGATGAGGGGAAGAATAGTACAAAAGGAATATATGATTAGGCATTATATGTATGACAACAATCTGGAACAAGGGGTGCACTGAAGGAAGGCTTTAATGGGAGGGGAAGGAGGAAGAAAATGTGCAACAATGGAAAAAACAATGAAAACAAAGTATTTGTTAATTATTTTTTTTATTAATTTTAATGAACGTTTACAGAGACTTTGGATTTTCATTCATTCATTGTTGCATTTTTCTCCCTGTCCACCCGCCCCCAGTTCGCTCTTTTCTTTGAAAAGTAAAAAGAAAAATTCTTTCAAACAATCCTCCCCTCCCCGCCACTATGCAGCCTTCATTCTGAACTCTTGTCATGACCATAATACCCAATCATATACTACTTTTAAACTGTTCTCTCACTCATCTGTTTCAATGCAGTATACATAATTTATCCAATCTTTCTCAGCCTCACCCCAACGCTGATGCCAGTCCCATTCTAAAACAGTGGTACTATGTAGTGTTTGTCCTTTTGTGACTGAGATATTTCACTCAGCATAATGTCCTCCAGGTTCACCCATTGTGAATAATATTTCATGAGTTCCTTGTTTTTCAATGCTGAATAGTATCCAATTGTGTGAATATACCAGAAATAAAACATTTTTTTTTAAAAATTTCCTATATCTGCAGCTGAATCTCTTAAGATCCAACAACGTCTAAGAATAAGCTACTTAGAAATACTCCTAAACACTGAATCTCTCAAAAGAATTTTATTCTGCAATGGCCAAAAGAGTGTTGCAATGGCTCTACGTGTTACAGCTCCTTTGAACCATCTTACCTGGAAAGGAGGGTTGTACTGAGTGACTTCCACAGTAACTGCACCTGGCATGTGGTAGCCATCATCTTCCACGGTCACCAGAGAGTAATAGATGAGACATGGAGTATCTGTTGGATGCCATGCTGCTGCCAAAACCAGGAGTCCGTCACTAGGCAATGAAAAAGAACATGTGTAGCCTTTTTGGAAAACTTTGGCAGTTTCTGATAAAGCAAAATAGACACCATATGATATAATACTTTCACTCTCAGATGTTTACACAAGAGAAAGAAACTCAGGTTGACACAAAAACCTGTGTGTGAATGTTTACAGTGTTTTGATTCATAATTACCTAACAGTATAAACAACTAAAATGTCCTTCAATTCATAAAAGATAAGCAAACACTGGTAAAGCCATACAAAAGAATACTACTGAGCAGTAACAAGGAAGAAACTATTAGGTAAATCTCAAAGGCATTACACTGTGAAAGAAGCAACACTCATTATAACAGATTATAGTGTACATGACTATAGTTAGATGACATTTTTAAAAGGGCAAAGTTATAAGGACAGAAGACTGATCAGTGATTACTGGAGTTGGGATGGACAAAGAGGCTCTGACTTACAAAGGTGTGCAAGAGAATTTTTGGAGAGGATGAAATGATTCGATACTTTAGTTGTGCTGGTAGTAGTTAAAATGACCATATTCATTTATTAAAATTCAGATAATTACATGCTAACGAGGGGAAATTTTACCATATATAAATGATAGCTCAATAAACCTGACCTAAAAGAAACAAAACTGATGTCATCTAAGCCCAGGCCTGGTGTCTTTATTATACTATATGCTAAGATTAATAGCACACTATTTATTAATCACAAGCCTTAGGTTAACATAATCCCAAATGCTTAACCAGCTGTTTAAGGCCATACTTTCTATTAACAGCTCCATCAGTGTGGCTCAACCCCCCAATTCCTCTATGGCCTATGAGTTTGATGATTTGCTAGAAGGTCCTCAAGAGACTCAAACCCATCAGGGGAATGACTCATGTGACTGTTGGTAGGCAGGCCAGGTTGTTTTTCTAGAAACTGATGAGCAATGGACATTGCTGGATGTAGCGGGATGCTTAAACACAGTCACACTGCTGCTCCTGAGTTGGTGTTTTCACACTTCCCCCAGTGTGGACAGTGCTCTCTTTATACTGATCCTTCAGCTGTTGCTGATTTGTGAGACTATGTATCTACAATTAAGATAGCTGGAGACCAGAGGGGGCTAAGGTGATAGCTAAAAAAAGCCAACTTTTGGCTAATACCAGAGCTCACCACCTGATTTTTCTATCCATTATGTCTCATTATCTAAAGGATCAGTCTTCCCCTTATTGTTAATAGATGCCATCGAGTCAAGCATGAATCATAGCAACTCTATGAACAAAAGAATCTTAATCTATCCTGTGCCATCCTCACAATTCCTGACTGACACACAAGAACCAATTGTGGCAGTCACCATGTCAATCCACCTGGTCATGGGTCTTCCTCTTCTTTGTCAACCCTCCACCCTTCCCAACATCATGTCCTTCTCCAAAGAATAGCCCCTCCTACCAACATGCCCAAAGTATATGAAATGAAGCGTCTTCATTCTTGCCTCCAAAAAGTACTCCAGCTGAATCCTTTCCAAGACATATATGTTTGTTCTTTTGGCTGCCCATCGATGTTCAGTGCTCTTCTCCAACACCACACTTTAAAGACATCAATTCTTTTTCTGTCATCCTTATTCACTGTCCAGCTCTCAGATGCACAACAACTGACTGGAAAGACTACGGAGTGAATCAAATGCACGTTAGTCCTCAAAATGACACCATCACTCTTCAATAATTTGGAGAGGTCCTTGACTGCAGATTTTCCCAGTATAATGTATCTCCTTATTTCCTGAGAGCTGGCACCAAGAGTGTTAATTATGGATCTAAGCAAGATGAAGCTGCTGACAGTTTGAATTTCCTCTTCATTCATCATGATGTTGCCTATTAGTCCAGTGGTAAGAATCTTTGTTTTCTTGACATGGGGATGCAGTCCATCACAAAGGCTACATTCCTTGATTTTCTGCAACAAGGGCTTCATGTCCTCCTCATTTTCAGCAAGCAAGGTTGTGTCATCTGCATAAGGCAGATTATTGATGAGTATCCCTCCAATCTTGATGCCACACTCCTCTTCACAGAGTCCAGCTTCTCGGATAAGTTGCTCAGCATATCTACTCAATCTGTATCAATTCTGTCTTCCCCTTATCATCAATTAGGGAAATATGTAAGATAGGTACTTTACTCCTTATGTCTTAATCCATCCATTTTAGACTGTTTTTGTTGTGGTGGTGTACAATCAAGTTGGAACCAACCCATAGCTGACCTTCCTGCCAGTAATCGCATGGGAGGAGATTGTCCATCCTTCTCCCCCATTTTAGATAGTTAATTTTTATTTGCCCAGTCTTATCAAACCAGTACTCTGAGGAAACAAACATGTTTTTTCTCTGAAGCATCTTCTGTTACAGTTGAATCTGCATCTATAAACAAAGGTTCAGTCAGAGCAAACCATCATGTAACAGTAATAAACACTAGCTCTCAGAATAAAACATCTTCTCTTCATCTGGTTGGGTCTGGTCAATGCATTCCCCACCCATCCTTGGCTAGATCTAAACAGGCATCAGTGGCAAACTCAGGAGTCCACATTTCGTCCTGTGTTTCAGACCAGCTGGTCCCTTCACTCAAACTCAGCCCCACATGGGCCAAGTCATCAAGGATCCTCAGGATTACCTGCTCCACAAACCAGCAACAATTCTTCATTCATCCATTCATCATGCTAAATGGACAGTGCTAAAGCCAAACTCAGCCCGTCTCTTCATTACTTGTGTCTCCCACTTCTACTCATCAAATTGACCCAGGTGGTCACCACGAGTTAAGCATACTCATCAGATTCCTTTAACACTGAAGTCCTGGAAAGGGAGTTCTGATACTTCCTCCTTCTTCTCATCAAGCAGACCTAAGTGGTCAACCCAAGTTAAGCACACTCATAAGCTTTTCCTTGCTTCTGTGTATTGCAAAAGTCTCACTTTTTCTACTTGTCTCCCTTTAAATATAATTCTCAGAGTATTGGGTGGGGCTTAATCTTTCTTAAGCTAAACTACACAACTCTGTGTCAAATTATACTACTGAAAGCATTCTTTTAGAGCAAATTTTATCTTTTTGAATACTCAATTAATATCCAAGTGGCTTACATTTTTCCTCTAAGTACAATATGGATGATCAAAAATCTTAATCATTTTTATAAACATGACATATAAAGGGGAAGGGAAAAGCATCATACATAGACTTTTAAAGAAATGATCAGATTCATCTTCATACCCTTGTCTCAGCCAATAAAGCAGCTTCTCAACTTTTCTTTCCACTTTAGTAACAGCAAAAGTAACCTTTTAATGGATGACTTGCATAAGGTATAGCTTGTCAGTGGGGATCCACTTTGTCATCCTAATTCAAAAGTGAGTGTTTCTTAACTTCTAGCATGACAGCCTGTTAATAGCTTATGTGGCACATTACAGCGTGTTGGTTCACTATGTATTGTCTGTGCTACTAGAGTGTAAGCTCAATTAGGGGAGGGGCTATTTCTAAACTTCACTTGCATCTCAGAGCCTAAAATGGTACACAATGAATAGTTGTTGTTATGTGCCATCGAGTCGCTTGTGACTCATAGTGACCCTATGTACAACATCTCTAAACTCTGCTCTGTCCTGTGCCAATCGCACTATCTCCAATACACCCATCCCGATTACCCCAGTCACTGAATCAATCCACCTCATAGGGGGCCTTACCCTTCTGCACTGTCCCTCTGTCCTACCAAGCATGATGTCCCTCTCCAAGGACCTGTCCCTCCTTGCAACATGTCCAAAGTATGTTAGACAGAGCCTTAGAATCCTTGCCTCCAAGGAGCAGCCCAGTTTGACCCTTTCCAGGATGAATCTGTTTGTTTTCCTAGCAGTCCCTCAATACTCTTGGTACCCTCAATACTCTTCTCCAGCACCACAGCTCAAAGGCATCAGTAGTAGGTGCTTAATAAATATTTGTGAAAGAGAAAAAAAAAGAGTAACCTTTTAGGTTTTCTCTCCCACTTTATAGAAACAAACAATAACCATTTTAACTGTATTGCTTCCCGAGCCCCACATTCACAAAATCACACTATATTTCTGTGAGTCTGAAACAACAAATCCCACAACTATTAACACCAAATGTCTAGAAAGCAGAAAATAGGGCATGGGGCACAGAGCTATGAGGATTCTCTGAAAGGACCAGAGAGAGTGAGAATAGTACAGCCTTTCACATTCTCAGGGCAGAACGTAACCCAGACTCATAGTGCATCTAGAGCCATATCAACAGCAAGATGTTTGTTTATTCCTTGTTGACTCATGGACTTTACTCACAGTTGTGGTACTGAGAATGGGTTTTATTACAAAAATAAGTTGAAAACAAAAATGAAAAAAAAAAAACCCAAAAATAAATAAAATTAAAAAAGTTGAAGAGTGAGAGAAGCAAAGAATATCACCCAATGCAAAACCAGGTTTTAGCTCAGCAGTCCCAAGGCACAATTAGTCCAGGCTCCAGTTTCAGTTCAGTAACACAAAGTCAAGAATCCTCTGGTTTCCTCAAGGTTTACCTCTGAGAAATTATAAGTCAGCTTCTCCTTAATTATCCAGCAAACACAGCAAAAACTTTAACTGTGGTCTTTATCTCAGGGATCCTCTGGTTACAACTTGCCACAGTTTCTCCATAGCAATGCCAAAGACACTCTACCACCATCACTAAGGTCTCACCACCAGGGTCTCACTCTCACCAGGATCTTGCTCCAATTTCCTTCAAGTCTTGCTGCCCATATGTCTGTAGTTAAGGAAGCTGGAGACCAGAGAGGGCTAAAATAATGACTTAAAAATGCCAACTTTAGGATCTAGTCACTGTCATAAGGGCATCTATGGATGTTTTAATGCTACAGTGTCAAGAGCCAAATAAACGGCTATAAAGACTATTTCTATTTGCAAAGATAGTAATTATGGAGTCCTTTTACAGATAAGTTTGATCAATCAATCCTCCATCGTAACTGTTAAAGTTCACTTTGCCAAAGGAAGAACTTTAAATTAAA